CTCTCTCATGATTTTCTTAATAACATTTTCTTTTCTCTAGCTTATGTTATTGTAAGAATATAGTATATAATATGTATGACATACAAAATATGTGTTAATTGACTGTTTATGTTATTGGTGAGGCTTTCAGTCAGCAGTAGTTAAATTCTTGGGGAATCAAAAGTTACGTGTGGATTTTTCGACTGCATGGGGGGATTGGTGCCCCTAACCCCTGCATTCTTCAAGGGTCAACTATATTTTTGTTGAAGATTTTTTATTATTGTGGTAAAATACACATAACATAAAATTCACCATTTCAACCATTTCAATGTGTCCAACTCAGTAGCATTTAGTACATTCACACTGTTGTGCAATCATCACTGCTATGTAATTCCAGAACATTTTCATCACCCCGGAAGGAAACCCCATACACATTAAGCAGTCACTCCTTATTCTTCCCTCTTCCTAGCCCTTGGCAACCACTAATCTACTTTTTGTCTCCATGGATTCACCTATTCTGAATTTTTTGAGGATTTTTACATCTATATTCATAAAGAATATTTGTCCATAGTTTTGCCCAGGTGTGAGGCGAAAATGAAATTCTTTCTATTTAGAGAATGACTATTATAAATTCTTTATCAGTAAGCAGCCCATAAAGAGGGGGCCTAGCCTTTCTGCCAAACACAATCATTCACAGGCCCCTTTGTACCCAATTCATTTGGCAAGGGAGGGAGGTGTGCAGAGAAAAGGAGGTGAGCAATCTTTCAGCTTTGTCTCCCTTCTGTCTGGTGAGAAAGTAGGACTCTGAGAGAAGTGCTGCCCAGCATGGCTCCAGGCAAAATATAAACAATTTGTTTTCTTTGCCCTCAAATCTCCCTCTTCTGCTGCTGTGTCCAGCCCCTGGTGGCCTCAGGTAGCCAGGTCCTAGGATTAGATCTCTGAGGTCTCTGCCCGCCCGCACCCCTCAGCTGGGACCTTAGGCCCTGAGACTACTCTCATAATTGGTTCCCTATTGAGTGCCCCTTGCCCACAAGCCTTACTAACTGACCAGATGGCATCCACTTGCTTGAGTCACGTGTTCTTGTTTGCTAAGGCCTCCCTAAGTTACCCTGTCCAAATTCTCTGATCATGAGGAATGTCAAGCCCTAAAGCTGTTAAAAGAAAAAAAGATGACTTGCGAGAGAGGCCAAGAAGGAGGTATTTCTGGAGAGCAGGGTGTTCCTTAGGTACTTTTCAAGTAATGTACAAAGGCAAGTTCGTTGTTTGGTGAAGCTTGTTCAGGGAATGGGGAGTGAAAGGTTATACTCCTACCCTCACAGTGCCCTTCAGAGCCCAAGTCCACCCTACCGCTTTGTTGAGAGCCAGAAGTCTCTGGAGAGACTTTGTGACGGGGAACATTTTTTTTTTCTCCATGGAGGCTTCCTGGCTCACACTTCTCCAGACCCCAGAGACACTCCCAGGCTCAAGATGATGTCATTGGAGCGTTTTCAGATAGAGAATTTAAGACTTTCTCTGACTTCATGTGCTTTGTGTTTACAGCTGAACTCAAACTTTACAAGACTTAGGTTCATTTACCTTTAGTCAAAAATTCTCTTTCTTGGCTCCATTTCTAAATACACATGGGCCTCTTAAGTCTTCTTGGCTATCAGGTACCTGTTGATCAAAAGTGCCACATACTTAGGTGGGACTAATGTGGCTGACATGTCCTTTGAAGTTCAAATAGGGTTGGAAATGAGTGCAGTATTGCTCACATGATGTCAACTCACATGTTTGAAATATAGTGTGTGACATTTGACAGACTCAAGCACATGGAAAGACAGTCATTCTTCTTATAGAACCAGAGACTCAAGAATAGGGGAGTGACTTCCCATCAGGGTCTGCTTTTTTTGATGAAGAATGCTATTTCTGGGGCACCTGGGTGGCTCAGTCTGTTGAGCATCTGACTCCTGATTTCGGCCCAAGTCATGATCTCAGGGTCCTGGGATTGAACCCTGTGTGGGGTTCCATGCTCAGTGGGGAGTCTGCTTGAGGATTCTCTCCCTCTCCCTCAGCCCTCTCCTCCCGCTCATGCTCTCTCTCTCAAATAAATAAATAAATCTTTTTAAAAAGAATGCTACTTCCAACCCTAGGCAAGCAGTGGGTTATTTGAGTAGTTTTGGAATTTTAGTAGGCAGGCCTACTCTCCACCCTTGCCTTTACTGTGGGGGGCAGTCCCCACTGAAGCCTTAAGCTTTTTTCTTACACCTGCATGGCTGATAAAAGCAATTTGCCATATGTACACAATGTACTTCTCCCTGAAGAGTATTCCAAGATGGTTCAGGGTTGGCCATTTTCATGGCCAAACCAGAGAAGGCAAATCCCCTGTAAGTAAGCTCCCATTTCTCCTATCTTCACTCATAGCAGGCCTTAGAGCACTGTTTTCCATCGAGTTGGGTTGAGACCACAGAATCCTCAATTCAGCACCCCCAGCAATCTAGACCAGTTGCCTGGAGTTGATATACAAAATGATAATAACTAACATCTTACTGAGGACTTACGGGTCATGCACTGGCTCAGTGCATGCATTATTTTTTTAAATTCACACATTACTCTTTTTATGATACTATTATTTTATAGACAAGAAAACCAAGGCCAAGGGAAGTTATCTTTCCCAAGGTCAAACTGGCAGAACTTGGGCTGCAGTTCTGTTCTGACTTCAGAGACTGACCCCTCCACCATTACATTATGCCAGTTCATTCATTCACTCAAGAAGTGTTTAATCAGCACCAATGAGATGTTGTCACTGTTCTAGGCACTGGGGGTACAGCAGTCAGAAGAGCTCTACTCAGTAGAACAGGACACTGTGTGGGCCTCCTGGAGGAAGAAGGCCTCTGTGGATCAATGACCCAACAGTGGGCGATATATCCGTTTACTAGCAGGATGAGGGCTCTCAAAATGTGAGAGCTCCAAATTTCGAGCACAGGGAGTGTATGAAAAACACAAGCCACAAGGCAAAGGAGCAGTGGTGGAGTTTGAGCTTAGCTCTGGTCCCATCAGGGCTCCGTGTGCTTAGTATAAGCGATGGCTCATGCTTGAGGTGGAGAACAGGCCCATTCATCTCTGTAACTCTATAAAGGTCAACCACCCAGGGCCCCTCTAACCATAGGCCAACCTTAAGCTTCTCAAACACCCCATGTCTGCTTCTCTCTTTTGCCATTAGCAGCTGGATGTGTGAAGCTCACAGCTCCCTGCAAGGAACCCTGGGGCAGGTCACGGGTGGGGCTGAGCTCACCCTTCCTATGGATACATTTCTCCCTTGTGAAGGGCAAGGAGATAGATCAAAGGACACCTGGGCCCATTTGCTTGATAGGGAGACCCGGGGGAGCTGGAAAGGAAGAGGGAGGAGGGGACTGGGGCAGCCTAGAGCCGTGCCATGATTTATTGGCTTGTTTTGCTCCTGCACTTCTGTTTACCCAGCTGGGCCTGCTGCTGCCCAGGGTACCGGCATGTGCAGAACCACTCTGGCCAGCCTTTGGGGTAGCATCAGAGAGAGCTGTGGACTTGGCCAGCTCCTAGCAAAATTGAGGCAATTGAGTTTGTGTTTTCTATTTGCAAGTTCCCGGCCCCACTAGGCTTTTTCTCACCTCCATGGGGCACCCCTCCACACTACCCCCCCAGTCTCAGCCACAAAGCCCCTCAGCCCTTCTTTTCCTTGGTAGAAAGTGGTGTCACTTGGGCTTCTAAGGCACACTTACACGAACAGGTAAGCATCTGCCAACAGCCTCAAGCCTAATTCTTCTAGCATTTTCAAATGCTGGGCACCTCTGTAATCAATCCATTCAAGAGCAGATTGCCTCCGGAGAGGAAATGAAACAAATAGCTTATGGAAGAGTAGCCGATCCAAGAACATGAATCAAGTCCCGAGTCTAGGCCAGGCTTCTTTCGGCTAATTGATGAACAAAGTTAAAACCAATCCCAGCATCTCAATAATGCTCGCTGCCTGACTTAAACAGCAATAGAGAAGTCCTGACAGCCCCCAGAGTAGAATGATTTCAGAACTCTTTGTGTGTGTGTACATGTGTGTGTGTGTATGCACGTGCGCACGTGCATGCAAGAGGGGGGTGGCCAGGATTTCAGGATCCAAAGGGCCCTTCCAGGCACATGTGGTCAATGGTCTGTCAGTGCATAGAGTCAGCTCTACTTTTCTTACAAACCAACCCAATCTGAAACCAAACAGGAGGAACTGGTGGCAGAGGGCCTCTGGGCCTTGCGTAGGCACTGGGAGTGGTGCTTCTGAGTAGAGGCTTTGCAGTCAGACAAGCCTGATTGGGGGTTTCAAATCTAAGCTCTGCTGCATATTAACTGTTTGGCCTTAGGCAAGTAGCTTAGCTTTTCTGCGTCTCAGTAGAAGACTCTGTTATACGGGAGAAACACCCACCTCACTGCATTGTTGTGAAGATTAAGCACAAGAGAGTGTGCCAACCACTTAGCAACTGGTCTGTGTGCTAGTAATACCTGGGGGCTGTGGTGGTCTGAGACGAGGATTCTGGAGAGCAGAGGATGGGGCACCGGAGAGCTTCAGCACTTCGGGTGTTCATGCCTAATGTTTCCACAATTCAAAGGCAAGTTTAGAAGGTGGAAGCAATGTAAGCAAAAGGTGGTATGTCCATACAGTGGAGTATTACTCAGCCTTAAAAAGGGAGGAAATTCTGACACCTGCTACACATGATAGATGACACCTGAAGATGTTAAGCTAAATGAAATCAGCCTGTCACACACACACAAAAATACCATACGATTCCATTTACGTGGGGGACCTGGAGTAGTCACATTCATGGCGACAGAATGGTGGTTGCCAGGGGCTTGAGGTGGGGCAAAAGGAGAGTTGTTTAATATGTGCAGTTTCAGTCAGGGAAGACGAATTCTGGAGAAAGATGGCACACAACGGTGTGAATGGGCTTAATGCCCCTGAACTGGACACTTAAAAATGGTTAACGTCAATTTTATGGCCTTTCTGGTGGTGACGACCTCCCCATAAGAATATGCCCCTCACGAAGGACCTTCTCCACCCATCCCTGGAAGAGGAGAAGAGGAAGCACAACAAGAAGCGCCTGGTGAAGAGACTCAACTCCTGCTTCATGGACGTGAAATGCCCGGGATCCTACGAAGTCACTACCATCTCTAGCCACACACAAACCGTAGTTGTTTGCCGGCTGCCCCTCTACCCTTTGCAGCCCACAGGAGGAAGAGCAAGGCTTACAGAGGGATGCTCCTTCAGACAGAAGCGGCACTAAAAGCACCCAAAATGAAGATGAGTGGGAAACTATCCCAATAAACACATTTTGGATTAAAAAAAAAAATGTCGGGGCGCCTGGACGGCTCAGTCGGTTAAGCATCCGACTCTTGATTTCAGCTCAGGTCATGATCTCGGGGTCCTGAGATTGAGCCCTGCATCGAGCTGCGCATCGGATTCCGCGCTCTGCAGAGTCTGCTTGTCCCTCTTCTTTCCCTTACTCTCAGCTCTCTCTTTTCCTTTCTCTCTCTCTCTCTCACCCTCCCTCTCAAATAAATAAATAAATAAAATCTTTTTTTTAAAAATGTCAATTTTATGTTCTGTGTGTGTTGCTGCAATTAAAAAGAAAAAAGTGGAGAATTACTGGGATTTGGGGTATACATGTGAGGAATGAGAGAGAAAAACAAAAGCTCTGGCAAAGGGATGAACGCCCCAGGGAAAGCCTTGCTGGGATTCTGCTATATTCTACTCTACTATGAGAGGACAGCCAATTTCCATAAAGGGACAGAGAGACAGACAGACAGACAGACAGAGACAGAGAATACAGAAGCAAGAAAGGAGGGGGGCCTGGGGCTGTGTCAAATAAAAGCTACAAAGGAATGGAGGTTTCTGAGCTCTGAAAATGCAGCAAGCAAGGAAAGAAGGCTCCATCTCGAGACAGTGGTTACCCCTGGGGTGGGTGAGTCCCCAGCCCCATTTGGGCCTTGGCTGTGCCCAGATGGGGAAACCTCAGGAGGGAAGGAGGAGGTGGTTTGGGCTGGCCCGAGGTAAAAATGGCAGATTCATAAATATGATGGGCTCAGCTCCCCACCACTTCCCAGGCAGAGTGGCTGGGACCAGCCTGTATTCTCTCCCCAGTCTCACTCCCTCTAGGCTCCACAGGGCCCCTGGAGGCTGCCTTCTCCTCTGGTTCAGCTGCCCGATTTCCCTGGAGAGGAGGTTGCAGAGGGGGGCTGCCAGTCCTCACATCCCCAGGCGCCTACTCTCCCCCCCACTCCCCCGGCCACGCTGCCCCTGCACATGTGGCCCCTGGCCGTGTGGACACACCTGAGTCCAGGAACGACCCAAGCTGCAGGGAACCCAGCCCAGGCACGGAGGTAATTAGGCACGTCTTCTCTGCTCCTGAAGTAATGTTTGTCTTTCAAATTCTGCCAACCAAAATGGCTTGGGCTGTGATTTACCATCACAACGTTATGTCATACTTCCTTACTGCTTTTATGACCAAGAAAGACTCCAGGCACAGTAGCCATATTATGTCCTAGCAAACTCCTGCCTAAATTAAGTCACTATTTCTGGTCCCTGTCGCTGGTCAAAAATGACATCCAAGGGTAATTGCTGTTTTAGGGGCACATTTTAAGGCAAATGCAAAAAATAATGAATGTACCTATTTTTCAGACTGAAATTTGCATCCGTCTTTTTACCCTCTCCTGGCAAACATGTTTTATGTTTATTTAAACGGTCCTTAATAAAAATGTACAGCTGCAAAGCATCTTACTACTCAATGCTTTCTGGTTAAGAAAATTGCCCATAATCACAGTTGACTTTCCTATTCGTAACAGAATATTATTTTTCATCGATGTGTGGCTGCCGCCCAATGTGCAAATGTTACAAACGCAGTGGGAGGCTTATCTGAGGTCGCAAGCACTTCATTCATTCATTCCCTCAGTCAGTCAACAAACTTGTTTTGTGGACTTCTTAGGTGGGGTTTTAGACCTTTTGGAGCAGTGGGAAGAGCATGTGCAGAGGCGTGAGAGAGCGTGGCAGGTCACTGACATGACAAGAGGAACCATTGTGATTGGCTGTAAAGTGTTAATGTAAATAACTTGTTACTGATAGGAGTGACTGTACCAACATTGCTGACTGCTTTACTGTAGTTATAAGTTGGAATGGATTCAAGGTTATCCTTCTGTGCCTGCTTGCGTTTCAGTATGTTTTAATGAGAGTTAGAGAAAAGGGCCCGATTAATAGCTGGCGTGCCAAGAATTGTGTAGTCCCCAAGTACACCCATGGGAGTATGTGACACACGTGAATATCATCTGTCAGTTGTATCGCAGTTGAGAATTGGAGTGGCCCACAAGATGTGTGCTCTCTGGGAGAGGAGAGAGATGAACTTGGGGAGGCGAGATGGGTAGGTGCAGCTTTTCAGAGCTGTAGTACACACATTTTCATTTGGATTGCCCCCAAATTTTGCATAGCAGATTGTCATTGATGTCACGGAGCTACTGCTCATTTGTGAGGTCCCAGTATTTTCCCTGATACAGAGATGGGATCTTAATTAAAGTGGTGACCGTCAACCCATTCTCGCAAATTTAGCTTGTCTTGGAGAACCCATAATTATACTTCTTGCAATCAACTACTTCTAGCACCGGCTGCATTGCATGTTGAGCTCCTTAGAAATGAGAAAGTGATCCCAGAGGCAGTTTCCAGGTTAGGTTTAATGCAGTGATTGTATTGGGGACCTCAGATGTCTTGGAAAACAGATGGAAATTCTCAGTAATGAGTCAAACTAGAAAAAGGAACTTACTAGTAATGAACTTGATATGCTCTCTCTCTTAGGCACATGGAGAGCCGTTGGGGTACAGAGAAAGATGCCTATGTTGCCCTACCTTTCTGGACTTGACCAGAAAATATTAGGAATGATATATCATGTGATGTGCAAATAGAATAACTGATTGGCTTGGTGTTCTGTTTGGAAGGGTACTCAAAATGTTTCCCTTTCCCTGAAAACACTCTCCCACTGGTGCTTGATTTTCTATTATTAGAAATTGTGGTGGAATCCTTTGTTTTAAAATTATGCTTTAGGGGCGTCTGGGTGGCCCAGTCCATGAAGCATCTGCCTGCGGCTCAGGTCATGATCCCAGGGTCCTGGGATCGAGCCCTGTGTCGGGCTCCCCACTCAGCAAGGAGTCTGCTTCTCCCTCTCCCCTACCCTCTCTCGTGCTCTCTCTCTCACTCTCTCTCTCAAATAAATACATAAAATCTTTTAAAAGATTATGCTGTATTTCTATGCTTTGGGAAAGGAGGGTAGTTCTTTTAAAAATAAGAAGCACATTCAGGAATGAACTGGAAACCTGCTAGGATTGTTGTTAAGAAAACCAGTTGTGTGTAGATGCGACCTCAGTAATTAATCAGTGAGCATCTAGCCGCCAAATATCTGATGGGAGGGAGGAGGCCCTCTCCTTCGAGAGGGGGAAAATGACTCCCTTCTGATTGAAAAAGCACCATCCCAGACCTTCTTGCTGCTGACATGCAGATGTACATCTGGCTGTAATCTCTCACTCCCTGCTAGCTTTTGCCAAGCTGTGTGGAACAGAAATCCAGTTTCTCCCCCATGTAAAGAGACAGAGAGAAATTGAATAGTTAGATAGTTAAAATTCTGAGCACTGGCTAGGAGAAGGAACATGCCCAAAGCAATAAAAAGACTCTCACTTAAAAGCCGTGGTTGCAGAAAGATTCGAGCCGTTTAAACAACTGGCAGAGTTGATCGGGGTGAAGGGAGTAGGAGTCTCCGAGCTCTGGACAAGACTTGATACTCCACAGACAAACCAAGAAATATTTAAATTGTGTTCAGTCTACTCCAGGTTGACGAGCAGGGTAGAATCCATGCTTGATAAAATTTGAGGGGGTTTGTTTGCACATAGGTGTCCGTGTTTCTATAAACTTGGCTCTAAATTTTATTCCATGTGGAGTTGTTTCAAATGCAGTTGTATTTATAAAGAATGAAAGCATCATTGAATGGGAAAATGTTCTGTTCTCTCTGAGCTGTCCAACTTAACGGGAGCCTATCATTCGCTCAGAGCCGTGGCAACTTACCCAAATTGCAAGACTAGCACAGGGGAGGAAGATAACTCCCTTTGAAGTGTTGTCTTCAAAACTCCAAAACCCACAGTTCATAAGTGACAGTAAATCCCACAGTGCCTCAAGCTTTGGATTAAACACTGCAGCCTTCTTTAAAAATGAAAGTGTCCCTGGGAAGGTTAACATATAAAGTTACTAGTACCTTAATATAATGGTTCCCTAAACTGAGTATTTTTCAGAAGCATCTCATGCCACACCTTTCACTTAGAGCTTTCAAAATATAGGAATGTTCAGAGAAGAACGTAGCAAGCATTGTGTTCTTGCCATGCAGAGTGGAAATACACTACCATATTTATTTTGTTTTCCGTTTTTTAAAGGTTTATTTATTTATTTGAGAGAGAGAGAGAATCTTTAAGCAGACTCCACGCTGAATGTGGAGCCTGATGTGGGGCTCGATCCCACTGACCTTGAGATCTCGCCCTGAGTGGAAACCAAGAGTCGGGTGTTTAACCGACTGAGCCACCCAGGCGCCCCTGTCTTCCAATTTTTTTTTTTAATAAAAAGAGTAAAATACTTAAGGAAAAGTTGAAGTTCCCTTTATCTCCCACTTCCTGTCAACCCATCCTCAGCATTATTTCCTGAGATCAGTCCATGTAGGTTATCTCACTGCTGAACAGCAACCTAATAGTACAGCCATGACACACTTAATTTACTCATTCCCCAGTTGATGGATATTTAGGTTGTTTCCAATTTTTTTACTAATAGTCCTCCCAGTGGTCTACGTGTTCCCATGACACCATACCACTGGTAACTTTTGAGTTTTAATTTTTGCCAATCTGACAAGTATTTTCTTGAATACTAGTGAGGTTGAGCATCTTTTCATACATTTGTAGATCATTCTAGTTCCTTCTGTTTGTTGCCTGTTGGTATTCTTTGCCCATTTTTCTTTTGGGTTGGTTGCCTTTTCAAAATGTATTTATTATGTATCTTTTGGATACGGTTTCTTTTTCAATTTTGTGTGTGGCAGATGTTTTCTCCCACTGTATGGCTTGTTTTTAACTTTATAGTGTCATTTGTTTTCCATACACATTTTAATATTTAAAGCAGTCACATTTATCAGTCTTTTCTATTAAAATTTGTGAGTTTGTATGCATGTGTGATTAATAAATTCTTCCTTACTCCAAGATCATAAAGGTATTCTAT